TTTTTGGAAAATGTGTGGTATGGTTTTGGAAAATATGTGGATTTCAAATTCTTTTTGCACCAAGATAAACATCTTTTAATTTCATATTCATAAATATGTATAAACTTATTTCTATTATCTTAATTTTAAAATCCAATTAATATGCCGTATTGATTTCTACCCATTTCTCATTAAATACTGATTACATCTTTCTTTCTTGTGGCTTAATATTAGACATACTTATGAGGACCTTTTAATTTTTATGTCTTTAAAAATGTTCTTTATTTTTTTTGAAAGGCTGAGAGATAGAGAAAGATAGACGCCTCTCATCTGCTGTTTCACTTCCCAAATAACTGCAACAGCCAGGGTTGTGCCCATTCAAATCCAGCAACTAAGATATAATCCAGATCTCCCATGTAAGGGGCAAAGACCTATATACTTGAGCCATCACCAGCTCCCTCCAAGGGTGTGCATTAGTAGGAATTTGGAATTGGGAGCAAAGTCAGGGCTTGGTTCCAATTTGGGATATGGACATTCCAAGCTGCATTTTAACCACTGTATCAAATGCCTATCCTTGCTATTAATTACAGACAAAAAGTAAGCTTAAATTTACACTGTACTTTGAACAATGAATATAGAAAATTCATAAGCCTTAAATTTTCCTTTAAACAGGTAAATAGTATCACTATACTGTTATCATTTTTCACTCTAAGTTCTTATTTCTCATGTTAACATCACCTGGAATATTCTCCCATCCTTTAAATATATGAACGTTCATAATCAGTGCTATTTTTAGGTTCACATCCTGGATCACCCACCTACTGTAAGTAGTTCTGTGACAGATGGCAAGTTGTTCAACTTCTCTATGCCTTTGTATCATCAACTTCCAACTCATAGAAGGTTGTTAGAGAGACAAAATGAGCGAATACACTTTGAATATGTAGAATTAAGTCTGGCATTTCATTTAAGCACTCAGCAATTTTTTTTGACAGGCAGAGTTAGACAGTGAGTGAGAGAGAGAGAAAGGTCTTCCTTCTGTTGGTTCACTCCCCAAATGGCTGCCACGGCTGGAGCTGCGCCGATCCGAAGCCGGGAGCCAGGTGCTTCCTCCTGGTCTCCCATGCGGGTGCAGGGCCCAAGCACTTGGGCCATCCTCCACTGCCTTCCCGGGCCACAGCAGAGAGCTGGACTGGAAGAGGAGCAACCGGGACAGAATCCAGCGCCCTGACCGGGACTAGAACCTGGGGTGCCACCGCTGCAGGTGGAGGATTAGCCAAGTGAGCCATGGCGCCGGCCAAGCATTCAACAATTTTCATCACATATTTCCAGAAATAATACTACTATTACTATTTATGCTTAAGAGTACATTTTCACTATTTTCATTCATTAAGTGTAATAAAATCACTTCTTATTCTGGCTTCTTTAATCAATATTGCTTCTAAAACACACTCCTATCTATTGGATTCAATTACTGTCATTTTAGCTGGCACCATGGTGCACTGGGTTAATCCTCTGCCTTTGGTGCCAGCATCCCATGTGGACGCTGGTTGTAGTCCCAGCTGCTCCTCTTCCAGTCCAGCTCTCTGCTATGGCCTGGGGAGGCAGTGGAGGATGCCCAAGTGCTTGGGCCCCTGCACCTGCATGGGGTGACTAGGAAGAAGCTCCTGGCTCCTGGCTTCGGATCGGTGCAACGCCGGCCGTGGCGGCCATTTGGGGGGTGAACCAACGGAGGGAAGACCTTTCTCTCTGTCTGTCTCTCTCACTGTCTGTAACTCTACCTGTCAAATAAATAAATAAAATCTTAAAAAATTATTATCATTTTGTATAAAATTCATTGGATTTTTTATGTTAATACTTTATCTCCCCAGTTCGTTTCAAATTTTTTGTGGGTCTCTCACTTTTCTGTGTTTCATCTATCACATTTGAATTTGGCAATATTCTAATTAAGTATGGGTGCAGTGTCCCCTTATGTCATTCTGGAAGTAGCAGGTCATACTTACTCCAAATTCATGTACCTGCTGCTCTTTTAACTCTACTTTCTTCACTTGTAATTTTCTTCTGACTTTTTTTGCTTGATGCCTCTCTTTCAAGTGTTAGTCTTTTTCAAATGATTGGCAATCTGTGGTTATATTTTCATGCTTGCATTGGAGAGCTCCTGCAATCTTCCTTGTCAGATTTGGAGTTGCTTGCTCCACTTAATCTCTGGGAGAGCTGTTGGAAACCTTTACTGCAGCTGCATGCTAACAGGTAGCATTCTGAGAGCCATCCACTTTCTTTTTCCTCCCAGGTGTTAGCCTAGCACTTCTCTGACACTCTGGGTCAAGCATGCACCCTCAATTCTTTCATATAGTATGTGGGGTACTTATGCCTCCTGAGTTTTCCTGTCAGTCACAGAAGAGCTTCTTCCTGTTCCTGATATCTGAAACTTAGGAAAATCTAGTTATGAATTCATCTTGGACTATATTTTATATTTTAATCAGTCTCTTCTGATTTTAGTCTGTTGGAACTTTTCTCATATTTTTTGTTCTTTTTAAATAATCTCTTCACCTCCAGGATTGTCATGAAATTTATAAATCTCTTTTGAGACAATTCTGTGGTCTTATTAGGGCATGAAGTCTGCAGCAAGTGACAGGTCTACCATTTAAAAATATTTCATTGTCCCTTATTTATTGTTCACTTTCTAATTTACACTGAGAATTTCTTGTCCATCCTTCATCACCAACACCTGTCTGGTGCATAATACCTGATAAACAAAAGATCCTCTGCAGATTAGAAAAGGAAGCTCACTGACTCCTGCGGATGAGCAGTGTTAGGAGTTGATCTGGCTGCAGATAAGACTGAGTGCAGTGGTCCAAACAATGCAGTGCAGATCCTCTCTTAGTCTCCACTCCCTTCTTGTCCTTACTCTCAGGATGACTCTTTTCCTAATGCAGTCAAGAGAACCAGGAGGCTTCAGCCACACACAACCTTTCATCCGATCATACACTCACAAATCCCCAGCAACTCCAATGCACTCTGTTTAGACTAATCAGTTATGCAGAGGATACTTTGGTGGACATCAGGAGCCAAAATAACATGATTGGAAGCTCCAGTTGTGTGATATACAATAAAGAACATATAGTTCTCCATATGGGAAGCCAGCACTGTAGGAGGCGGCCTTACGCACTATGCTACAGTGCTGGCCCCAGGAAGCTTTTTTGATTTACTTTTCCCTCCATAAGTCATGTAAGATACTTATTTATTTTTTCATTAGTTTATGTAATCTCAATAATTTGTTCAATGCATGAAGTTTCAAACTTGAAATGATTGGAATTGCGTGGATGTGCACTTAGCTCTGAGGATAAAAGATTACTTATATGTGAGTGTAATGAGCCATCATGACAGATATGATTTAGCTGTAGGTGTATGATGTAGTTTACTTGTAGTGATTTACATGTATAAATGCATATGCAGACATACATTTAACATTTCTAGCATGATGTAGCTAGCCAATAAAAATAGTACTATGAGTGCATGGAAGTGGCTGAGAGACCAACCTGGATCTGGGCCTCAGAGGTAACTGGGACAATGAAAGACTTGACTGGATAGAGCTTTGAAGGAGGATGCTGCGATATTCTGGACTGTGGAGACCGGGCAAGGCTGAATCTGAGATGTGCACGAGCAGCCTGAAGAACACTTCAGGGAATAGGGCAAAAGTCACCGTGCATCATGTACTAATCTGAAAATGTTCCTTGGCCAGATACTGCAACCCCCTTTTCTCATGTAGCTGCAGACTATATCTGTCCTTGAAGGCAAATATTTTGATCATCTTTTTAATATGGATTATTCCTTCAAATTATACGAAACACGAATATTATCTCGTTTGATAGAAAACATATTTCCTTGAACTAATCTTGTACTAACCCCCTGGATAAGAAGCATGCTGTGATTGTGCGAATATGAAAGTCCATGTAAAACTAATAAATTTTTTAAAAAAGCTAATAAAATTTGACTATTGCTCTGACAGTAGTCCCAATCCATTTTTTGACTCACGGTTCCAAAGCTCACTGGAAAGCAGCACATTGGATGAAGTGATAGGAGTGGCACCTGCCCACCAGGCACCTCTGCTGTCACTTGTCCCTCAAGATAGTGCCCCTAGAACACATGTGGCAGCCAGGGATACACAAAGGAAGGCTTGGAGATCATAAGTCTGGGACTAATCCATTCATTTTGGAAGCTGAGGTACAGAGAGCTGAAGTGAGTTATCCAAAATTTTTAACTACAGGCAACAGTAGAACTAAAGACAAACTCCATTTAATTTCAGGGTGCCAAGATTTCACCTGTGTTATTCTGTGTTCATTGACAATAATTGCTATAGAATGAGATGCTGTCAGTGATAGTTATTGTAAAGAAAAAACATCAGAGGTTTTCAGGATCCAGGAGGCCTTCTTAGAATTTTGTTACTCTTCTATAACAGCGATAACTACCTTACTGGACTCCTAATCTGGAACCTATCCTGAACCTGCCTTCAGTGATAGAAATAAGGAAATGAGAATTTTTCTCCAATTGTTTATTTTACATTTACTCTATTGTTCTAATTTTCCATTCATAAAAGTGAAGACCTTTTACCCATAGTGTCTTCACTTCCTATTGGCAATGAGTAGCGCAGCTCAGATCAAGAAGTGTAGGTCATTTTCATGAATATTTTTAATTGCATTTAAAAATATTTATTTGTTTGATAGAGATTGTTCTCTTATTTTCTGATTCACACCCCAAATACTTGCAGGGGTCTAAGTGACCAAAGCCAGGAATTAGGAACTCAATCCAGCTCTTCCACTTAAGTGGCAGGGAACAATTACTTGAGCCATTACCTGCTATCTCCCAGGAACTGCATTAGTGGGGAACTTAGGAGCAGGACGTGGGCAACAAACCCACATACTCCTGAATTGGGATGCAGATGTCCTAACCAGCAGGCCAACCAGCTGTCTCTAATTCCATCTTAAAGTAGAAACACTTCGAAGGATGCATTTCAGAGATATGTGTTATCTAGCAAATATAATTTAATAATATATTAATCTGATTTCCTACTACATTTTGAGGTGGGTGGACATCATGTGTCCCATATGCAATTGTTATGTCCCAGGCATCAATGAGGCCTACATTTAGGTCCTGGAAAATGTCCTTTATGATAAGATACTGAATATAACCATGGAAGTCACTAAATCTCTCCACATCATTGTTCATCTCCCTGATGTTTTCTGCTTTGATGACAACCAGGGTGTCTGGGCTTCTCAGAAGAAGACGCTGAACAGCCTTGTGGACATTGAGAACTCTTTTGATAAAAACGTCAATGGGGAAGGGTCTGAAATGTTGACCCAGAGAAATAACAATGATAGTATTCTTCTCTCCTCCAGTTCTGTCAATGGCCCGGGCGATGTACTCAATCTCTTTGACTGAGTAGCTAATTGATCCAATCAATGGGTAACCATGCTTTTGCCACTGGATGTTGATATTCCTATCCAGGTCCACAGCAAGTTGGTGTTGCAACTTTCCAGTTTCATGCAGATCCACTGGCTTCAGTGCTGATGGCAAACAGGAAATCCCAAAGTGAAAGGAGAATAGAATTACAAAGGTTGACAAGTCAAAAAGGTGGGGGAAAAGATTTGGTGCTGAAATTAAGCTAATCATGTTTCTTTCATTATAGGCTTTAGTTTGGAATCGTTGTGAAATTTGAGCAATCAAAGAAGTGTTATACCCATATAAGAGATAATTATGCTCTCTTTTGAAAAATAAACATTTCTGTATTCTCATGAAAGAGACAGACTGATCTTCCATCTGCTGGTTCACTCCCCAAATGCCCACAATAGTCAAGGCTAGACCAGGATGAAGCCAGGAGCAGGAATTCCACCTGGGGCACCTGTGTGATTGGTGGAGACCCAAGTATTTGAGCCATTGCCTGATGCATCTCATGATGACCATTAACAGGAAGCTGAGTGAAAGCAGAGAAACTTGGGCTTGCATCATGCACCTGATGTGAGATGCAGTCATCAAAAGCAGTGACATAGGCATTTTGCCAAGTGCCTACCCCTAAGTGTACTCTATTGTAGAAACATGTAGAACATCTTAGAAGTAAATGGCTAGGGGCTGGCACTGTGGCATAGCACGTAAAGCTGCCACCCGCAATGCCAGCATCCCATATGGGTGGGTGCCAGTTCGAGCTCTGGGTGCTGTACTTCCCATTCAGCTCTCTGCTATGGCCTGGGATAGTGGTAGAAGATGGTCCAAGTACTTGGGCCCTGCGCCCACGTGGAAGACCTGAAGAAGCTCCTGGATCCTGGCTTTGGATCAGCCCAGCTCCAGCCATTGTAGCCATCTGGGGAGTGAACCAGCAGATGGAAGACTGTTTCCCTCTCTCTCTCTCTCTCTCTGTCTCTCTCTCTCTCTCACACACAACTTCGCCTTTCAAATAATTAAATAATTTAAAAAAGAGGTAAAGGCCTACACTCTAGATCTGAACCCAATGAGGTTGGAAAGTAGAGTTGCTGGAGGGAAGGTTGGGGAAAATAGAATATTTTCTTCACTCCATTTCCAAATTTCTTCAATTTTCTTTTCCAATGCATACTGTGACCATATAGAATTTTCCTTTGGACAAAATGTACAACAGAAACTTTCTGACCACAACTAAAAGATGAGCTGAAGAGGGTAATCAAAAAACCCAGCATTGTATATGACCTCAGAGACCCACTGTTACAGAATGCAATGTTAAAGATTATCAGCAGACACTTCGTTTTCCTAGATGAATATACTGAGCTGTTGAGGAGTTCATTTACCAGAGAACACAATTTAAAATTCTCCATCTTCTGTAAATTCTTATAATGCTGATGTAGTGCCTTACTGACTTTCCCCATCTATTGTGTGGACCATCTTTCCTTCTAAGTTTGAGATTATAAGGCTACTCTCATAGCAGGAGAGCTAAGATGGAACCACAGCCACCACAGCCGTTGCACCGATCTCTGTGAAATGAGTTAGGGTCCTGGATTATAGCAGGGACAGGTAGAGATGATTATCTAGCTAAGATAGCTAAGGACTACTAGTGGATGCTGAATTCTTACTAGCATGTTTTGGTTCAGAGAATAGCACAGTTAGGCTAGGATTTTAGCAACTGGATTCCAGCCCCAGTTCTAACATGATCATGATAATAATAACGAACGCTGTTGCTTTTTTGGGCATGTTCTATATGCCAATGTACCTTGCAAAGTATTAAATTCTTTTTATCTGTTACCTTATTTAGTCCCCAAAACAAGCACGAGGTAATATTATTATTATTCCTGGTTGATGAGGGAATGAGACAGAATAAATAAATAACATCCCCAAGATCATTGTCTCTAAGTGGCTCAGTCTAGGTGAGTCAGACTCCAAGTCCCGTGCCTAAGCATTGCGCTCACTTGTTGCCAAGCCCTCACTTGATGCCAAGTCCTTGCCTTTCTCCTGCCATCTGCCCTCTCAGGTAAGAATAGTGATGTTAGCTTACAGCAGAGAAGTTAACACCTTAGCAAACGGCTTCTGAGTTGTACTCTACACAGTACTGTGTATATGACCTCATTTTACCAATGGGGGACTGTTCATCTAGGCTGACAGATGAGGAGACTGAGGGACAGGGTGGGTTTGTAACCTGTCCCCAGATAACCCAGATAGGAAGCCAGGTTTTAAAATGAGGCCATCTAGACCCAGAACTCAGAGCCTTAATCATCATGCCAGTTGTACAAGGAGGCCAATTCAATGTCTTAAACTTCTTTGGCCCCATCAGTACTTTTCTGAGCATGCTAAAGCATGTGTTCTGCAGGACTATGAGTATAATAAGCGTTTTTCTACACTGTCTCCCCTCTGGTCAGATTAATAGGTTCTTTTAGAGGAAAGATAACAATATCTGGTGAACGATGTTGCCATATTGTGATTTAGAAATATGAAACAGGAAAAGCTGGTTCATATTCCTTTCTCCTTTTGAAGTGATGAAGTTTCTGAAAGAGCTAAGAACACTAGTTTAGACTGAGGCATACTGTCAATACTGGTTTTGAAGTATTCCATCCACTGTCGGACTGTGGAATCTCCCATTAGATAGATGAATTTTCCTCGAAGGCACTCCTTCATTTCTACAGGAGCCAAACTGCAGGAGACGGGTTTCCAGGAATCTTTCCAGACATGCCCGCTGGGGATTGTAGATGTCATTCCAAACTTGCATTTCTTCTTCACTGGAACTGTTCCTTCTGCCAAAGAATCAGTAAGACAGGACCTTTTAAAACACGAAATTGTCCATCAGTATTAACAAGAGCCTTCCATCATTTCTGTATCCTCTTAAAAGAGGATGAGTGTGGTGCAAAAGAATTGCTGAAATGTCCTCTTAATGGATAGCTACTTTCTAGCACATTTTTTCTGTGATGTGGATCTTCCACATGATGCCCACTAATATTCATTTTAAGGGTTCATGTTTTCTCTCTGAAAAAAAAATGCTTTCTGTATAAACCTTAAGTTATTGTTAGCTCCCTTATGAAAGGAAACTCATCAATTCTTGCATAGTAATGAAAGCTCCATTATCCTATCATGTTAGCCCACTTTACCTCTAGGTTTGTCATTCTCTGTTCCAGGGTCTTAAGTGCCACAGTCAACTATAAATCCTTTGAGTTAAATACAGTTTGATACAAAAAATATTAACTGTTTTTGGGGGAACTGATCACTCTAAATGGACATGGGTAAAGGCTGGAGGGTATCTGGAGGTCCAAAATGAGCCAGGTATTAACCCTTCTGTCCCTGGGTTATGAAGAGTCCAGGAATCTGAGATGGCTGGGATGCTCAGGAGCTGTGTTAGGTTGGGGCAGTGATTATTCATCAACCAAAGGAAGTAGCTGAACAGTTCACAACTAGTATGGGCATGTCCATGTATGTAAGATGAAAACTAGCATGTCTGCATCTAGCTACATATTTACACCTTCATAAATACAATTTTATTGGCAATTAGCAAGCTAACTTTTAATGCTGAACTTGCAGAAACATAAAAGCTGTTCCCTTAAATCATTTTAGACAGTGATTTCCTAGGCTGTATTGAGTCAGAGAAATGGAAGAGAAGTTAATAACTATAAATGTGGAACTTTGTATTTTAAAATTCTTTGAAAGGTGACAAAGGCCAGGAGGCTGGAACCGTAATGAGTTGCCTCCTAGATGGCAGTCTGGAAAACTGTAGACGGTGATTTTTGGGCTAGCAGTGACATGAGAAGTGATGATAGTGGTGATGTGGAGATGGGTAGTGTGGAAAGGTTAAAATGAGATGAGAATTTTAATGGGTGAAGGTTAGAATATAACATGGATAGGTAATCTTATGAGGAGGTTGATGAAGAGAGAAATAGCTAATAAAACAGATTAACTAAGTCCTAGTGATGCCAGTCGTTTGTTCACTTAGTACCTGGTATGTTGGCCTGCATAAGCATCCAGATGAGCAAAGTGCTGATAGGACTGAGACAGTGAACTTGTCCAGCTGAAAGATGAAACCCTTCAGGTGAATCCAGTACTAAGCACCACCCACCAAACACGGGAGCACTTACGATTGCATTTGGAGACGCTAATCGCATTGAAGTTTTTCAAAATCTCTACACCCAAGTTTGACCTTAAAGAGATAAATACAGTAATTAATCTGCAAGTGGGCTCCAACCAGGAAACTCTCAAGTGATGATCCACTGCTTCAGTTATTTCCTACTGGGAAGTTGATGCCTGTGCCCACAGTTTCAGGCCAGGTAGTGAGTTTTCATTTCTTTGCTTATTAGTCTATAGTATCCAGTTACTGAGAAGGTGTGTAAGGTGATTTTTGAAATGCAGAAAGAACATGTTAGAGCACACACACTTACACACATATATATTTCTCATCCCCTTTTCATTTTTATTCTGTGTATGTACTTTTTATCTCATTAATAAGGGTTAAATATTACACAATTTTGGGGATTTCTGTAGAGGGCACACTGTCCCAAATGAATTAAGAAGTTTTTTCCCAAGTGACACTTGTTTAAAGAATCCCAAAGTCAATAGACTCCTCAGACTTCCATTTAGATTGACATATGGGCCAAATCACCATTTGTGCCCAAAAACAAGTGTTTACCTTTCAAAGAGACTTCTTTCTTGTTTGCTGAGATAAGATACTTTCGTGTTCTTGGAGTGCATGTGAACAAGTGCAGCACAGGGCATGTGTTGGGGCTTCAGGCAGTAAAAGGCTTCTTGGTCTTCAGCATCCAGATATTGGCATAATTCAGCACTTGAGTTTAAGACCAGCGCACAGTCAGTATTGACCTTGGTGGTCCCACTGGAAAACTGACCTGTGAAGATCACCCTGTCATAGCCTTGGTTCCTTGCCCTCCAGAGAGCTGATGCCCCTTCACTGGGGTGGATGAGCAGGACAGACAGGGAGACCTGGCCCTCCCAGAACAGAGTGAAGCTGACAAGGTAGGTACCATTGTTGAAGTCGGTCACCTTTCCCGAAGCGCCTGCCTTTAAGGCTGGGGAGGACATCCTGGCCCTCAGGAAATCCCCACCATATTCCTTCTGGTGTCCCAAGTGGTCTCTCGCCTCCAGCAGAATGTCCAGCTGGTTCCCTGTGCAGTATGTATCTCGTGGGTTGAGGATGGTGGCTGTGCTGTGTGTGGCACTGGTGGTGGTGTTTATGTGTGTGAAAGGTCTGGGTGGGATCAGCTGGTCTAGTTTCTCCATGATTTGCTTTATTTTCAGCTGTGTCTCTGCTGCTGAAACTACTGGACGCGGTGGTGCCTCTGACCATGAGGGCTTTGTGATGACGTTCCAGCGATGGAAGGAGATGGGCAACTCAATTGCGGTCCAGATCTGAAATGATAATAAAGAGAGAACATAGCTAATGTTCCCTATTTATTGTAATGATTTTTGGTGGCTAGCCAGCTTCTATCTTTTACAGAATAAAGCGGGCTGCAAAAATGAAATGAACTGAAATTTCTAGATCATGTATGTGTCACAGGATAAAGGCTTTTCTTTAGAGAACATCCCACTTCTCACTAGCTAATCTATTTTGGAAGAGCCATCGAAACCCAAAGAGCCCTAGGAGCTTATTTCTGAAAAAGGTGGTGATAAAATCAACTTTACTAGACAATTGTGAAGACCAAATGAAAAACTGTTGTTTTAGTTGCATAATATAGAAAAATGAGTTTTGCCCATTTTTAATCTTTAAATTTACTAAAAAATTGATCCAGACAAGCAAAAGCTGAGCAAGTTCATTACCACTAGATCTGTCTTACATAAAATGCTTAAGAGAGTTTTTCATCTGAAAGAAAAAGATGCTAATAAGCACCAAAAAACCATATGAGAGTATAAAACTCATGTGTAAAATAATTATACATTCAGATTCAGAATATTCCAATACTGTAATGGTGGTATATAAGTCACTTATATCTTTAGTATGAAGGTTAAAAGACAAACTTAAAATAAAATAAATAGCTACAATATTTTTAAAGGAATTTGTAATATAAAAAGATGTGATACAAAAATTTTAAGTGTGTGGAGGGGATAGAGTAAAACTGTAGAGTTTTATGCAGTCAAACTTAAGTTGTTATCAGTTTAAAGTAGATTGTTATCACTACAAGACTTTTTTTGTGTGCTTCCTGATAACCACAAAGTAAGCACCAAAAGATAAAAAAGGAATCAAAGTACACCACTGAAAAAATGAGTCACAAAAGGAGAAAGCAAGGTTGTAAGAAAGGAATAAAGGATCTTCAAAATAACCAGAAAACAATGAACAGAATGGTAGTAATGCGTTTTTACTTTCCTGTAATTCCTTGAATGTAAATGGATTAACTTATCCAATCAGAAGACATAAGATAACTGAAATGGTAATGAAAAAGAACACACCCAACTAACTATATGCAGCCAACAAGAGACTCAATTCACTTGTAAGGACAGACATAGACTGAAAGTGAAAGAATGGGAGAAGATATTCCATGAAAATAGAAACCAAATGTAATCAAGAGTTGCTATATTTATATCAGATAAAATAGACTTTAAGTGAAAATTTACTAAATAAGACAAGGAAGATACATACACTACGATAAAGGGGTCAATTCATCAAGTGGATATAGCAATTATAAATGTAAATGAACATAAAATTGAATCTCCTAATTATAGAAAGTAAATGTCAATAGAATTGATGGGAGAAAATAAAATGTTATACAAAAATAGTAGGGTATTTCAGTGCCCCACTGTTAGCAATGGACTGAGTGTACAGACAGAAAAGCTATAAGGAAACATCATACTTAAACCACACTTTAGTTCCAATGGGCTTCCCAGACATACAGAGCAATCCATCTAACAGCAGATTATTATACCTTCTTCTCAAGCACACACTGAATATTTCCATGGTAGACCCTATGTTAGGCCACAAAACAAGTCTTAAGGAATTTAAAATTAAAATCATATCAAGCATCCATTATGCTCACTCAAGCACCTGTTATGACCACAATACTTCAAAACTAGAAATCAATAATAGGAAGAGTTTCAGACAATTCACAAATACATGCAAATTAAATGATATGTTCCTGAGTAACCAATTGGTTAAGGAAGACATTAAAAGGGAAATTTAAAAATATCATGAAGGAAGTGAAAATTGATATGCCATCTACAAAATGAAATTCAGCAAAAACAGTTCTGAGGGAAGTTTACAGTAATAAAAATGCCTACATCAAAAAAAGACAAAAGATCGTGAGTTACAATACTGATATTATACCTAAAAACATAAACACAGTAACTTCAAAATTAGCAGAAAGAAGGACATAATAAGGATTAGAGCATAAGTAGATTAAGTAAAGACAGGAAAAAAAATAGAAAAGAGCAATAAAACAGCGTGTTGGTTTTTGTGCCAGCATAAGCCAATTGACAGATTTTAAATGACACTACAAAAAAAGAAGAATCAAATAAATAAAATCAGAGATGAAAGAGTAGATATTATAATTGAAGCACAGAAATACAAAGATCATGAGAGACTATTATGAGCAATAATATGCCAACAAACTGAACAACCTGCCTCTCAAATAAAAATAAAATAATTTTAAACATTGTTGGCATTAAAAAAAGAGGCATGGCAGATCAGATGGGAAAGAAAGGACTACAAAATAAAAGGAGGTTAAAAAATGATGATCTATATGAAAATAAAAGAAAAATCAGCAAGAAACCAAACCCAAAGTAACATGGATGTATTAAAAAATCACATGGCAGAAGCAACATTTTAAACTTTTAATAGAATATTTAGATAAATAACTGACATTGGAGTAGGGGAACAGTTTTTCTTCAAATAGCATCAAGTATTTTTTTTAAAAGGAAAAGGACTATTACTATTAAAAGTGAAACTATTCTGCTTTTCAGAAGTTCCCTTGGAGAAGGTGAAGAGACCAGCTCAGCCCTGCGAGCAGGTAGCTGTAGCTGTGACTGCGGACACGCACCGCCCACGGCACAGCACGGCCTGCACACACACTGCCAGGGGATTGGCTTGTGTCAGTTGACTTTTCAACAGAGGACAAGCCTTTGAGATTTCCGCCGGTATACCTCCGTTTGGAATGTGCTAGGACAGCTGAAGTAGCCGGTAAAAATACACTTTTGTAAAACACAGGGAGAATGCAATCCTTACCTTTGTGGAGTTTAGGAGAACTGTAAGAGTGATCCACAATGCTACCACAGACAGCAGGACCAAGAGCAACTTAGCATTTGTCACATTTGTTTTCATGATTAGGCTCCTGCATGAGACAAAGCAAAAACAAATGTATAACCGAACAAAACAGGAAGAAAGCAGACCTAGAAACACATGGCCTTTTTATGCCTCCTGATTATTATTATTATTATTATTATTTTTTGACAGGCAGAGTGGACAGTGAGAGAGAGAGACAGAGAGAAAGGTCTTCCTTTTGCCGTTGGTTCACCCTCCAATGGCTGGCACGGCCGGCGCGCCACGCTGATCTGAAGGCAGGAGCCAGGTACTTCTCCTGGTCTCCCATGGGGTGCTGGGCCCAAGCACTTGGGCCATCCTCCACTGCATTCCCTGGCCACAGCAGAGAGCTGGCCTGGAAGAGGGGCAACCGGGACAGAATCCGGCGCCCCGACCTGGACTAGAACCCAGTGTACTGGTGCCACAAGGCGGAAGATTAGCCTAGTGAGCCGCGGCGCTGGCCACATAGCTATTGCTTTTTAAAAATTTCAGGTTTCATGAGTGTTTTCCTATGGCTCATTTTGGTGGTTGTCTTTTAAAATCAGCTTACTTGACTAATATTCTTTTCCTCCCTCAAAACATTCTCCCCTAGAGGCACCACCTACTCTAGGCCCCCAATTTATACCTAGACACTAGAAGTTTCGGTACCCTTTCCCCTCACCTGCTAGATTGTGCAAAGATTTTCATACCTTTTTGTTTCAAGATTTTGTTCAATCCCATGCATAGGACCTCTGGTGAGCTGGGTGTCGAGGTTTTGTTCTGAAGCATCAAGGTGCTCTTGGGTACCTCTCCTCTGTACCAAAACAAACCACAGGTTTCAACTGCAATCTGGACACTAGCAACTGGCATGCATAATCTTCTGCTTATTGCAACTGAAGTGAGAAGGTCAGGCACATGAGCTCCACCCTAAGGAGGAGCCTGGGTCATAACTAGCATAATCAGTTCAGATAGAGGCAGGAAAGAGACTGAAAAACTTTGCGAGGTAGATTAGGTGACTTCAATGTCCTGAGGCTTGTAAATCTAGTACGGTATTTTTTAGTGAATTCCACACAAGAAGCCAGGTATGAAGGCAGCCACAGGTTTGAGTGACGGAGAGTACTCAGTCATGGAGAGGTGAGCTTTCTAGTTTCCACCTGAGCCTCGTCATTAAGCTGTACTTTGCAGAATTCCTCCTGGCACCTTTTCTATGAGATCAGAACTACAAATCTCCGGAGCGGGCATTTAGTCTCATAGTGAAGATACCCATGTTCCATATTGGAGTGCTTGGGTTTGATTTTGCTAAGGCAGACCTTGGGAGACAGTGATTATGGCTCAAGTAATTGGACTCCTGTCAGTTACTTGAGAGACCTGGCTTGCATTCCCAGCCCTTGGCTTTAGCCCCAGCCCAACCTGAGCCATTGCAAGCATTTAGAGGGTGAGCAGCAATAGGATCTCCTTCCTCTTCTTCTCCCTCTCTCCATTTGTCTCTCTCTCTCCCTCTCAAACAATAATAAAAAGTACAAATCCCTGGTGGATTCAAACCCATGACTGTTAACTGTCATTCTGTCCCAATTACATTTCTAATGTTAAAATAACTGTATGCCACCTAGTGTTCAATTTCTGTAACAGCTGACTTTACAAATAGAAAATCATTATTAAAACTGTTTCTAAAATGGTATTTAAAGATATATTTTTGGCAAAATAAATCATGAGAAGAATGTGCATGATTCCAAAATTAGTATAACAACAGCCATATACTACTTAAATTTGAAAAACAGAGCTGTAATTTTTACTCCAAATGCAGGCTTCCATCTCCCTTAAAATTGATCAAAATCTTTACAGAACACCTGGGTAACCAAAGTAGCCAGAAACACTGTTTTGATTAGTCAAGACTAGGGCTTATTCAGAACCCAAAATGAGTACAAGACAATGGCTTATTCAAAGCATCTATTTACGTACTGGAAGTGGTCAAAGCAGGAGAGGCAGTGAGGCATTTTTCTTTCTTTCTTTTTTTAATATATATAGATGCGGTCTTCTATTCATAAACTCTATTACATCAAAAGGTCAACATTTCGCTTAAAAACATTCAATTTTATCAGTTTTTAAAGAAACAAATAACCTTAGAGACAAATCAATCTGCCTTAACAAATTGCAATCACATTAATGAAATTTGATTGTTCTTTAAGAGTTGTGGCCAAAATCCAAACTGCAGGACAATCTTCAGAAACCTGGAATATAAAATGTTGAGTTCTACTTGGATATAATTGATGTCCTCTTCCTCTTCAATGTCATCAAACTGGATGTTATTATCACCCCCAGAATCAAACGTGTCCATTGCGTGGACGAAACTTGCCATGTGCCTTCACACTTCTAGCTTTGTCTTCATTGTGTTATTGAATTACACCTACTCTGGTATACTGATAGTCTTGGAGACCAACCCATATAATGTCTGAAGTATTGATCCAAACCTTTTTTCTCAATTTCCCCCTGATGTGACATAACCTCTTTACACCATCAAAACACATTGCTTCTTTTTATTTAATATTTATTTATTTGAAAGGCAAAGTGAGCTGCAACAGCAAGGTCTGGACTAGGTTGAAGAGAGGCACCAGGAACTCTATCCAGGTTTCCCACCAGAGTGGCAGGAATCTGAACACTTGGACCATTTTATGCTGCTTACACATTGCTTCTAATCATCTATTTTCCGACATTTGGATTACCTGAGCATAGTCTTGTCCATCATCTTTGAACACCAACTCTCTCTTCCCAGATTCTTTGTTATCCTGACCTCTGCGCCTGTTTCTACCTCCTTTACCTTTATTCTTTGGTGTGGTGATGATGGTGATGTTGCCATGTTTCTAATTTCTTCTGTGGCAGCAGCGGCGACTTCTCTAAGATGCATAGGGGAGGGGACCGGAGCAATCGCTGGGGTCCCAAGCAGCATGTATGGGAGTCTCACTGCCAAGTTCTCCCACAGCCTATTCTTGGATGTGTAGATTTATGGATTTTAATATACTTTAGCTGTTTAGATATTGATATTTAATATTAACCTGGCACCTTTTATGAGATAGATACAATACATACACTTGACTTACAGAACTGAGATTTGCTTGACTTAAATTATTTGAAACAGGGTAAAGTCCAGGAATCCTGTCATTGTTGGTCTCTGATTCAGAGCATTTTCTGCCACTCTACAGGACTCCAACACTCAGGATATAACCAAGTGTATTTAGGGAGATCCTGTGCTTCATCTACTTAGTGTCCACTACACGTAATAGAAAAGGCCCTTCTTTTTAAAACCACGTTTTCTTTCAAGTAGCTCAAAAGCCTGGCCTGAGCAAGCTATATGGTCTCTGAAGTATGCTTGCACTTGCTGTGTGACTTACTTCTATGTTTCTTTTATTTATTTGAAAGGCAAATTTACAGAGAAAGAGAAAGGGGGAGAGAGAGAGAGAGAGAGAGAGAGAGAGAGAGAGAGAGAGAGGAATATCTTCCATCTGCTGGATCACTTTCCCAATGGCTGCAAAGGCCAGGGGTGGGCCAGTCTGAAGCCAGGAGCCTGGAACCCTATCAGGCCTCATACATGGCTGGTGGGGGCCCAAGCACTTGGGCCGTATTCTGTTGCCTTCTTAGGTGCACTAGCAAGGAGCTGGATTGGAAGCAGAGCAGCCAGGACTTGAACTGGCTTATATGGGATGCTGGCATTGCAGGCACATTGGCCCTCATGTGTGGCTTCAATGTCATCTTTGGTTAACTACTTTTCTTTCCCTTAAATTTATGAGTATAAATGATGGGTCTAAACAAGGAGTCATGGGTAGGGTGGGTCACAGAGAACAAGAAATAGAATTAGGCAGAAACAACATCATTAGGATATGATAGGTTACAAATATGGAGAATGTAAAGCAGAAGCAAGCAGTTGGAAAGAACTAAAGATTTTTGGTCTGAAATATGTAAAGACTGAAATGAACAATAGTTTGGTACAGGAGTAGATTGTATACAGAATCAAATTAGTGAACTGAAAGATCAGATTGAGGCATTTTCTCAGAAATCATCAAGGAGGAGTTTAAAGTTGAAAGAACGTGAAAGACAAGTTAAAATACATGTTATAGGGGCAGGTGCTGTGGTGTAGCAGGTAAAGTTGCTGCCTGCATTGCCAGGATACCATATGGGTGCTGGTTGAAGTCCAGGCTGCTATACTTCCAATCCAGCTCTCTGCTATTGCCTGGGAAAGCAGTAGAAGATGGCCCAAGTCCTTGGGCCCTTGCACTCACCTGAGAGACCCGGAAGAAGCTCCTGACTTCAGATTGGCCCAGCTCTCTCCATTGTAGCCAATAGGGGAGTGAACCAGTGGATGGAACACCTCTCTCTCTCTCTCTCTCTCTCTCTCTCCTTCTCTGCCTCTCTGTAATTCTGCCTTTCAAATAAATAATAAATAAATCTTTTAAAAAGAGAAAATGAAAATATATGGAACAAAGACAAAATGTCAATATCCATGTTTAATAAGAGTCCCAGATAGGCAGAGAAAAACTAGGAAGACCAAAGAGACAATACGTTATTTTCAAGTACCTGTGAAAATAAAAAAATAGACCACATACTGAATCACAAAGGAAATCTCAACAACTTTCAAATTTACCATTTAAATGTCAATCACAATGAAATTATAAGATATTTGACAACAAATAACAAAGAAAATACTCTATATGAAACACTATGGAATAATGCCAAATTATATGAAGAAGGAAATATTTAACTGTAAATATAGCTATTAAAGAGCAAGGAAAATGAAGGCCAAATGAGCCAAGTGTCCAAGTCAAGAACAGGAAAAGCGGAAATTGTAAATAAAAGAGTGGATACTAATAGGTGATAAAGAAACACGAGAAATGATGGGCAGAATAAAAAGTTAATTCTTAGGGAGAAATTGAAGTGTAGAGAGTTTCTCAGTACATTTGATCAAAGGTAAAGAAAAATATATAAATAATTAATTTGAGAAATAATAAAATCATCAGGAAGATTTTTAAAATCATTAAGAGAACACTAGGATAAGTTGCTGCCAAAACATTTGCAAAGTTTGATACAGAGGAAATACTTTTGATATATATGACAATCAAATTGATGAGAAGAGAAATAAAAAAACACAAACAAAAAGGAACAATTTGGTGCATAGTGACACCCTTCCAAAGAATTCAACACACACATGAGGAAACAGTAAAGATCCAGAAAGAGCCAATGTTTCATTGGGATCCAGAAGCAGGATGCCACCAGCGTCCTGGTTTGAAAGTGGTTGGGTGGGAGGAAGGTAGGGGGAAATACCACTAGGTTCCTATAATGGTATAAAGGAAATATATGAAACTTGCATAACTTAAATAAAATATATACTAAAACAAAAAATAAAGTGGTTGGATAAGAGGAGGAATTCTTCGTCATCGGCAAGAGAGGGCAGCCTTTCGCGCTGGTCAGCTGATTGGGTGGGGCTTCCCCTCCTGCAGAAGACAATGTGCTTTACTCAGTTTGCAATTGAATTATTAGTGCAGAAACACCGTCCCAGACACACAGGTCAGGCTTGCCCACGTGTCTTTGTATCTTATGACTCAGTCAAGTTGATGCATGAAACGCAAGCTTGTCAACTTGGAATGCATACACATGCAGTTAAAGCATACTTAGTTTACAAATGAAGACAATAACAAGACTGCAATCCTAGCTGACATGATACAGCTGTCCTACAAACAACTCTTTCCCCAGAAGGAGGGGGAGTCCCTGAGTGATATTTACTCTTATTTTTGATACTAACAACTTAAATACTATGACATAAAGTTA